ATTTAATATATTGCCGGTAGTTTCTCTCCAACCACCGGGTCTTGTAGTTTCTTTGAGTTTTCCCCTGAAGAAGGAGCTGTTCTTGAAAATGACGGCTGCAGAAGTTCACAAAGAGTCGAATGATCTTTAAGTGAGGCCTTAACCGTTATTGAGGATTGTTGCTATACCCTGACACCTCAGAATGGGTTGTGTCCGATTTTGTTGAGTACTCCTAAAACCTTTTTGGGCTTTTCACTTCCCCTTGCACCATTAAGGCCCACGGCCACATCTTTTGATTTGCCCACTAATGGGCCTGAGCCATTAAACATACCTTTCAAAGGTAAAATCACACCTTCCAATCCCACCTCCGGCACCGCCATAGTCGTCGTAGCCCTAGCAGGCCAAGTCTCCGCCAACGCCGGCTGGCTTTCCTTCTCCTTCCGTTGTGCTCCTTTGATAGACTTCCAGAGATTCGCCTGATTGACAAGTTGGGCTTCATCAGCCGAGTTCCAATACCATGCGGCTTTCAAAAAGTTTGTCCTTGCCGTCTCCGCTGGTGCCGGAAACTCTGACAGTGCACGAATTGGAGGAGCATCGGTATCGTCTCTCCTCTTTGTTCTTCTGCCTCACTAGTGATCCACCCGGAGTGATTCTTGCCTTGCTGATCATCTATTTCCCAATCTCTTCTCCTCCTCAATCGACGGTCCCGATTTCCGGACCCAGGTTTGTGCTGGTTCTACAGCAATTCTAGCCTCGAGTAAAGCTGAGGATTTCGCCTCTCCATAGAGATTTCGCTGGACTGGATTCTTTAACGGGATCTCAAGACAGTCGCCACTCGCTTCTTTGTCTGCTCTTGGATGACCGCTGCTGCGTTCATGGGCAGAACCATAGGTTTCCCTGCAGCGTTTGTCCTCCTCCCCTCCATATCGCCGAGAGTATCCTCGAGGGAGTCGAGCCAGAGGTCACTCGGGACAGGATTGTTTATCATGAGTCAACCAAAAACATCACTTGTAGTAGCAATCAAGCTTTTCCTATTGGAAGTGAACCGTAAGAATTTCTCGATTCTTAAATTCAAGGTCCCGGTCTAGTACAAAGGGAGCTCTACACTCCAGAACAACCTGAACCCTCGGCGGCTGCACTTCCTATGCTATGAGTTCACCTAACTTCTCTCCAATCTCTATCACACCCTCCTCATAGCACTGGTATTCCGTAAGCCCCTGAATCCGGATCCAGAACGGGATGGTGGATGGAAAGTTAGTACGGACTATAGGGACCCATTGTTCCCGAGCAAATAACCATCCATCAAAATGGTACAGTCTCTTTTTGATATATATACGATATTTTATCCGTTTTTCTATTATTTTTAATATGTATTAAATAAAAAAATGAATAGTTTTTGGACTTAACATACTACTCTTAGCATTTTCGTGGGTTTTGAAGTCAGTACAGGCTTTTGGAGTATTTTGGACCTAAAAGGCGTGAATCAAGCTTTTTTGAAAAAGGACAAATCTTGACCGTCAGATGTTTCGCCCCAAATGAAGAACTTCCCAGCGTCAGACCAAGCTCATATTTTACCACATGATCAAGGAGGATCTCAGCCTCAAAACGGATATCCGATCGCCACAATTCGACAGTTAGATCTTGAGATATCTTTAATCTAAGAAAATATGTTTGGGTAAGGATCAAGCTAAAGGTAGTCCAGAATATTCATCCGT